GGGGCCGCCGGTAGGGCCACGGCTAACACAAAGACGGAGCATCCTGCCCGTAGCTGCGCCTCCCTTTCTGTCTTCCCCCACCCCCATTTCTGAAAAAATGACGACTTTAAGAATCCTTCGCCCTTTCTCTTTTCAAAAAAATGCAGAAGAAGAAGACGCCCGTCCGTCTGATGGTCGACMCCCGCCGCTCAATCATGCCGCTTACTAGATGAGATTCCCTGCCTTGCTGACTGGCTGAGCCTGGCTGTCAGCAGGCTGTCAGGTTGGCTGGCTGAAGAGGTCAGCAGGCTGACAAATTGGCAAGCTTCCTCTCCCTAATTGGCTGCCCCTCCCCTGGCGAGCGGCTGGGTGCGCTGACCATCAGTGAACCCATCCCCTCGCATCCAACTAGTTATCCGTCCACCGCTCTCTCTCTCCCTCTCGCTCTCGCTTTGACTCCTATCTGGACGTGTTTGCGGTCAGATTCCAGTTGATCCCAGTTGTGCTGGTCCTCATTCTACCTCAGCTACATCCACAAATGCCAAAAACAAAATAAAAAAAAATCCAGAAGGGTCCTGACTTATGTCAGCAGGCTTACTACCTAGTAGGCCCTCAGGTGGACCGGTGGGTTAAATTGGCCCCTCAGAGTCGGAACGTCATGGTCGCTGCTGTCTCCTTTCCCTCTGTGAGGTTGCGGTTGATGACGCATTCCCCCTCCCATCCACAAGTGCCATGGTTACACGTGTGGCAACCACAGCAAATGCAAAAAAAGGGCAATAGGTCACCCACCACGCTTCTTCTTCTTTCTTTTTTACCTTTTCTTTTTACTTTTTCGATATTCCGTCTTTTGCACGAACCAAAAAGGTGGACACTTACAGTTTGAAAGAAAAAAAAAAACGAAAAAAAAAACAAATGTCCACACTCACCAACGGGCCTACGGTAGTCGCTCAGTTGGTACACCCTTGAGCTGTTGAAATACAGACCCAAGTTCGAATCCACCCCAATGACGTACAAAGAAGCCCAAGAAAAGGGGGAAACTGCTCCGAGCTGAGTCACCTAAAGTGGCACCGATGCCATCGTTTCTTTTTTTTTTTTTTTTTTTTTCAGTTTCAGAATGTGCAAGTTTATAGCGGGGGGGTTGAAACTGAACTGTGGCCGGTTTTTTTTTTTTTTTTTTTTTTTTTTTTTTTTTTTTTTTTTTTTTTTTTTTTTTTTTTTTTTTTTTTTTTTTTTTTTTTGGGCGTTTTCTTTAAGTGGGGGGAATGCAGATTTAGCAGCGGCTTTTTTGATTTGCCCTGTTTTGAGAACTGCTGAAGTTGCCTAAGAAGATTCCAAACGCTAAGGTAGGTGTAAAACCCAGGAGCCGTTGGCCCAAAAGAAAAAGGTGGGCACTTCTTCATCTCGTCCTTCAAGTTGAGGTAGATTGTCTGACGTCCCCTTTCTTTGTTAGTTTCATGCAGCAGAAGTAGAAGCAGAGGCAGAGGCAGAAGCAGAAGCAGAAGCAGAAGCGGAAGCGGAAGCAGAAGCAGAAGCAGAAGCAGAAGCAGCGTCTCAGTTCGAACCCCGACGTCACTTGTCATTTCGCGGTCACCCCTCTAGAAGCAGAAGCAGTGTCACTGTGGGACACCTGTCCTCTTACCTCTGCCCCCTCGGCTGTGAAAGGGGGGAGAAAAAAGGCTACCGTAGGCCCTAAGGGCTGCCTTTCCCCTGCCCCCCCCCCCCCCACCCCCACCCCCATCCCCACCCAAGACAATCTGTCTGTCAATTTTAATATCATAGTGGCCCGATGGACCACGGATCAGATGTTAAACTGATCAGAACAGATACTACACTTGATCTTCGCCAAAAGCCCGAGAAAGGTATTGTCTGTCAATTTTCACTGTTGCCTCTCCCTAAGCTTCCACTGTGAAGGAGATGTCGTCGCCTACTACCCAATATATTCGAAGGTCTGTAGGAAGGTCAGGGGTGATTGTACGAGTGAAAAACTAATTAATAATTGTTAAGCAAGGTCATTATTATGCCCCCCACTGTACGCCGAAGCTGACTTCAGACTTGCCGACGGGATTCGCTGCGCACGCCACTTGAACACCCGAAGGCGCGGGAAGGGCGGGGGGAGCGCGGAGGAAGGGGAGCGGGGGGGGGGGAAGGGATGCAATACTGAGTATGAGTATACTCGGCAGATCAGGTGAAAGACGGAAAAAAAGGATCATTGGTAGCTCAGGACAGTCCCTCCTCCTGTCTGGGACTCTCTTCCTTCTGAGCCTGCACCCGAATAGAACGCTTGGTCATAATAGCTGTAGTTGGGTAACGTCTGGTCAGAATGGATCCATTGGGGCCGACTCTCCGTCCAGATGCGTGCAGAATGACCGGGCGTTCTACTCGGGTGAAGACGGCACCCATCACCGGCGACAGGAGCCTGAGAAATGATCAGAGCGGGTGGGCATCCTAAGCTATCAATCCTGCGACCCAGAACGCGTAAGTGCTCGAACACCGGTCGTCCCCAACTCACAATAATGAGTACACCCCAGAATCTGATCTGATGCTTTCTATGCGTCCTAGCAGCGACTCGAAGGTTTCATCGCACTTCTACGTTGAAGTCTCCATTATCCTTGTCATCTGTGGGGAAGGCGATCCCTTCTGTCACCCTCTCCGCTGAGAGAAGAACGCCATTGCCAAGTCGCTACTGGCCAATGGCCCAGTGGACAGCCTTCGTTCTTTTTTTTTTTTTTTTTTTTTTTTTTTTTTTTTTTAGGGGTCCCCTACCCGCGTAGGAAACCCCTCCCGACATCCATTCGGCTAGTTATACCCTTCTTGGCTGAGCTCGACTCCCATCCCACCCTCAACCTGCACAACATTTTCGGTCGTCATTCAGCACCTACACACACACACACACACACACAAAGACACAGAGAACGGCGTACTGTATTGCGATCGAGAATACGCCATTGCTGGGAATACCCCGTCGATGGTCAGGGGTAAAGGGGACGCATGGAGAAAGAGGCGGTGCCAGGGGGATTGACAATGTATCTAACGACACTAGAGCAAGCCACTGCAACAAAATCAACAAGTACGGAAGAAGCGCGAATCTCGCATGCAGCCAAAGTCTACTTTGAGCTCCTGATGCTGACCTTAGCTGACATGATTACATCAGTCCCTCGTTTCGTTCATGACAATGGCCAGCTGCTGCTTGAGTTTCACAGCGTATTAGCTACCCAACTCGTCGCAATCATCTGCCAGCTCTCTCTCTCTCTCTCTCTCTCTCTCTCTCTCTCGCGCGCGCGCGCGCGCGGCCGCTCTCCCCCCCTCTCCCCCCCTCCCACCCCCGATACCGACCATTGCATTCACACATCGCGCAAGCCTGCACTGGCTGTTAATTAACCGAGTATAAATCAATTAAGGGAAGGATTTTCGATGAGAGTGTTTCGGAGTGATCGACTCCATCGAACGCCTACCGTTTCTCCCAAGCAACTGACTTTAGACGCTGGGCCACACACTGCTTGATTGTAGCGACCCCCCCTCCGCTTTCTGTAGTTCGGCCTGAAAGCCGTCACAAAAGGAGGACGATTTCATGTTACACGGACAGGGTCCCCAATGCGGAAAGAGGAAACGTATGGAGAAGAGTAGCAATGAGAAATGTCGTGAAATTATCCGTCACGACAATCATGGAACTCCTAAAATTACGTGGAAAGTTGAAAACCGCAAAGCAAGAAGAAACGAAGAGTTTGGTCGTCCCTTCATTTCATCCAATGCAATCTCTCCTTCGCGGCTACTATCCCCATCAACAGCACAGTCAGCTTCGCCACGCACCGCAAGCTTCGTATACCAGGTATCCTCTCTCTCTCTCTCTCTCTCTCTCTCTCTCTCTCTCTCTCTCTCTCTCTCTCTCTCTCTC